ATGACTATGCGCTTATATAAATACATATGCTCTGATCCTCATTTGAAATGCATGTAGTTTAAATGCTTTCTCCAGCAAAAAATAAATAAAAAAAAGGAGGAAGCAGTGACTGGAAGAGACACGCTGCAGCTTGCACAGCCCGATAGGACTCGGAGCAGATTAGTAGAATGAGAGAGATCATTACGAGCAACCTCACAAGTGACCAAGGCTGAGTCACTCTCCTCCATTTGGCCGCTTTGCAACTGCCTCCATCCTCCCTTGCATTCAGCGTGCCTGTGAGGGTTTGATTATGGCTGTGCATTTCTGCATGTGTCCGTGCTCGCTGGTGTCATTTTCACTCCGACTTTGACCTTTAGCTCGGGATGCTGGACACAGAGAGGGGCTTAATGAGTTTGCAGGCTGTAATAGCTGAGCTCTATGTAAGGAATCATCCATCTACATGAGCCCCATAATTAGCTGCTAAGACATTGGTCCAGCTATGTGCTTCTACTTTTTATTCTGTTGACTATGGAGACATAGATAAACACCCTCTTTAAAGCCACTAGCCATATATTTTAGTAAAATGAGTGAAACTCTTTTTAGATATACTGCACCACCTGTTGAACATATATATATATATATATATATATATATATATATATATATATATATATATATATATATATATATGTATGTGTGTATATATATATATATATATGTGTATATATATATATATATATATATATATATGTGTATATATATATAACCTGTCTTAGATTACATCATTTCAGGAACAAGGCAGCTGAGATATTGGGATATTTATATCTTTTTTCCCTTTTTATTCATTTTTATTAGGAATGATCAATTATAATATCATTTATACTGATTATGATGATAATTGATAACCCAAAAAAACATGCAAAGCCTGAAGGGGGGAGTGTTGGTCTAGTGGTTAGAGCAGTGTGCTTGTTCTCTGATAAGGTTGCAAGTACCCGGTTTAATCCCCACAGCCTGCACCCTGGCTCCCTGAGCAAGACCCTTAACCCCCACACTGCTCCCAGGGCAACGCACAATGGCAGCCCACTAGTCCCCATGAAATTGGTTTAAATGCAGAGGTAAATTTCTTCAGTGTGAGATCAATAAAGTTCAATTATTATTATAATACAGTCATTGATTGCTGCTTATTGTATTGTATTGTAATAGTATTTGGTGTATGGTAGTATGCAATAATGGCAAAGTTTTGCTTTAGAGCAGTTATTTTATATTTTCCATAAAAAACACCAAATACTGGGATAACATTTTTAGTTTTATATTACCTGTCACAGGTTTTAATCTAACTCCTCCTTCAGATGCGTTTCCTTTTATTTTGAGGAGATAACCTGAGGGTGATTTATTAGAACACTGGAACATTTTCCTACAACCAAACACATGTAAGTGGTTCATAAAAATGAGCAGGAATAAATTTGGATAGCATAATTTCATATTTAAAAACCTTCAGGGATTATGTAGATCTTGTTACAAAGAAAAACAATCAGACATGGGGTCTAGATCTTGTCCGTTATAATTATTTTTTGAAGTTTCAGTGACCCACTGACGTTTCCTGGAAAAAAGATTTCCTCATCACCCACTACACCTCCTGATAGAAAGAGCTCCTTCCTACCTGTTATCCAACATAGAACAGCTGATTCTGTCACTTTTATTTCAGTCAACAAAAGGAGAAAAGAAGAAAGAAATAAGCGGGATCACTCAGTAGCTAGAAACTGAAACGTCTGCATGCTAACTTAGTACACTTTATGTAGTAAACTACATGTGGCGCTGCTACACTGACAATGAAATAACTGTTTAGCTTTTGGAAAACTTACTTCAAACGTGTAAAGAATGGAAAATAAATAAGTTTAATACGTTCAATAAAAGTAAAACATTAGTATTTTAATTTGCATATAAGTAAAGGATTGGGGAAGTAAATTCCTCCCCCTTTAATAACAGATTATCCAAAAAAAACAGCATATATCCCAAAAAGAACGGCAAATATCGAAGAAAACCAATGCAGCGGAAAATTCTAACAGGGTTTAAAAAGATTTATTAAAGTTCTAAGGATTAATATTGTCCTCGCAACAATTTGCTTCAGCTTTCCTACTCATAGCATGAAAGTTGAACTTTAAACGTAGGTCTTCTTTTTTCTTCTTCTCCCTTCCAGGGGGCGCCACAGCGAGTCATCTGTCTCCATCCAACCCTATCGTCTGCATCTTTTTCTGTCACACCAACCACCTCCATGTCCTCTTTAATTCTACCTATAAATCTCTTCCTTGCTCTTCCTTTAGGCTTCCTGCCTGGCCTCAACATCTTTCTGCTGATTTACTCGCTATCCCTCCTTTGTAGATGTCCACACTGTCTCAATCTGGCATCTCTCCAAAACATCCAACATGAGCTGACCCTCTGATAAACTCATTCCTGATACTCATAAAGAGAGCTTCTAGAGAACTAATTTAAAGGAAAATCACGAATTCTGAAAGTTCCTTAAATATGAAATTATTACTTACTGTTCAATAAATGATAAGTGTTTTTAATTAAGAGTAATTTTCATTTGAATGTGCTTTACTGGAGGCATCCATGTTTGTCAAAGAACACTACTGCCACCTACTGGTTTGTGACGTCACGGTGCGGTAGCGGCTGTTGATCAAGTCCCAGTGCTGTATCTGGTGTTTGTCACAATGCGCTGTTATCCAAGTCATGTTGAAAACATTCTTCTTCCAAATGTTGGCTACATATTACCTGTTTTTTTCTATGGCCAGAGGTTCGATGGCAAATCCTCCCTCTTCAAGTTGGCAATCCAACGACGAACCCGTCAGTGGAGGATCAGGAATCAGAAAGGTCTAATAAAATGTTGTTTTTTTTTACTTTTACCCGATGTATTCCAACATCCAACTGCCATGCACGTGGGCATTGTCAGTTTAACTATAATGCTGGTGAATTTCAATGGTGAAGTCCTCTGGAAATCTTTAATAATTGTTGTTGATTGCAGATGTGTCTAGTAGTTCCCATTGATTTTGCTTGTAAAGCGGCGAGAATGGCGCTAGGCTTACCGCACCGTGACGTCACTGCTGGAAGATGGCAGGAGGGAGGGGTTACTATATTTGGCCAAAAATGGCCGCTCCCGGACTCAGTGATCGCAACAAAAATTCGTTTTCATTTTTTTACTGATTAGTTTTAGGTATAGATAATGACCTATTGATTATTCCTTGCTGACTGGACTCTTCCTTTAAATGTAGTTCATATGCTTCAGAATATGTTCACTGAATTCTGCCAAAGCTCTGTCATGATTGTCGGACGCCATTTGTCCTCTGGAGAGAATTTATCCACCAGGTATAGGCTTGGTTTCCACATCATATCCATCAGTTTGCGTTTTCTCCATTGTCTTGTTCAGCTTCATCAGCCAAAGCTGCAGAGAATGTTACTCATATACATATTCAAATTGCTTTTGGAAATAAAAATTTAAATAAAAAATGAAATGTCTCCACCCTTTAAAACCGTGTGTATGATATTCAATATTTGGGTTTTGACTTAGTCAGATAAAGTGAATGGAAACCTAAAATGAATTGCATGAAAATTCAAAATGATACACATAACCTATTAGTGGTACTAGTGTTTTTTCTTGTATTGGATGATACGTCCAGGCATTGGCAGATGCATTAGTGCATCAGCAGCCATGCCTTGAGCTCAAGTGAGGCACATGCATCGCAGCTCCCTTCATTGGCGATTCATGTTCTGTTCAATATTTTGTTTAATTTATCCATAAATGTTTTTTATTTTTTATTTTATTTATTTAGGACTTGTGTCACATTTGTTATCATCAGAATCAGAAATACTTCAATAATCCCAGAGGGAAATTACTTTTGTTACATGCTCCAGTGACAGTTTATATATATATATATATATATATATATATATACACATCCAACTACACAAGATAATAAAAATAAAAATATAAAATAATGTGACTTTTTTTGTCATGTAAATGGAGTATTGGCTTCAAGAATCGGTCTGAAAATATCAGCAGCGCATCTCAGGGATTAATGTCAAATAATCGGCTTTAAGAAAATAAAAGGAAAACCATGTATCGGTTGATGTCTGTCTAACTTAACTTATTCAAGATGTATCTTATTTTCATTTTTTATAGAATATTCAATACAGAATCTAAAAAAATGTCAATTTCCTGACAATTACAGTATCCCATCATTTATACTTTAAAGGGTTAAATAATGAAAAAAGTCAATAAATGAACTGGACATGATAAATTAATGGCTTTATGCGGCATATCTATAGTTCACATTTGTATTATCATCAGCAGGTAAGGATGTAATAAAATCCAGATCCTTCTAATAGATCATCTCTTGCCTCTCTTTACAACTGACAGTTATTTTTCTCAATCTTTTTTATTTGGTGAAATCCTGCTTTAGAAATCCTCTGTTTAATATCCATCTCTTGCTTTTACTGAGTCACTTTGTTAGTTTTGGAGTAGAAAAGCGGAATAACTAAGCAGGTGGACATTCTCTCCTCTGACAATCCTATTTAAGAATGCAAGAAGAGCTTCCTGGAGTCAGATCCAGGTTTGCAGAGTTCAGTTTGCTGACAGGTGCCTGGGCTCTGCTGGGCGCGCTAATCCTCAGGTTACTTCATCTGTGTTTGTCCGTCACTCATGTGCTGCTAGACAAACCAAAGGCGAATTAAACTGAAACTCAACGACATGCAGATGCGATCTGTGCCGAATTTGTATGCAAAGCACCGCTGTGATTCCTATCATGCGGGGCTGAATGACATATCCATCATTTTCATGTAAGGCAGAGGATATGAAAGCACACCGGGCGCATTCATTTCCATCCTTTGGTGCGCTGTCTGTGCTTTGGTTTGTAGTTGTGCGTATTGATGATATGTAAATGTTTTCATAAGACGCTGGACAGCAGGCGCGCTCCATTCCCCGAACGGGATCCGCTCCTGGTTTTGCTCCTCCTGCCTCCTATGCATGGTGTGTGTGTCAGTGTGTATACCTTCCCCTGACTCTCAGCACTCCGGCATTGCTGTGCAAGCAGATGTTCTGTCCTCCGCTGCCAATTCTTTCCATTTTTTCGCATTTGGAGAAGGTACCTTTGCAGGCAAAGGCTGCAAAGTGACGAGAAGAGGCAGAAACTGCAGCCCTCCTCCTTTTTCCTCCTCCTCCTCCTCGATTCGGCGACACAAGGAGAGTTTTAAACGGCTTTGGAGCGATACAGTAGAGGCTACAGTAGAGGCGAGCACAGGCTTCCTCCACCACACCTGTGATGCGTTGTTCTGAGCAACGGAGACGCACGAGCTGGATGTGGATGGCCACGGCGCGGCACGAGGATACATACTGAGGGAGGAAATACACTTAATAAGGAAAGAAAAGCACAGAAAAAGTGCATTAAAGGACACTGTTCGGACCTGAAAAAGATTTATCATCCTGTTTCATCGCTTTTAAAGAGCGTAAAGATGCCCTTACGTCGGGGCCCCTTTGTCCGCTGCTGGTTCAGCGCTGCGCTCCTTCTGCTCGGGCTCGCTGCTTTCTCCTCCACCAGTGGTAAGTTGCACTTTATCATTAAGGTGATTAGTTTCATTATTTTATTTTGTTAAAAACGCGCTGGCTGGAAATACAGAAATGATAACATCGCAAGTTATCTGCTGTTAGATTGTCTTTCTTTCTTCTTTTATTTTTGGATTCTTTTGTTGTTCAAGCTGGAGCGCATGATGGAGCGCATGATGGAGCACGTTCCTGGCAGCGGTTATTGTTCAGTAATTTGCTAGCTGTACATCACTCCTCAATTAGCCCACACCTACAAGGTTACAGCTCCTCCAAGGTTAAAATCTCTCTTAATCTAGTGTTTTTTATTCTTTCATCTTTCAGAAATACCAGAAATATAACCAAAGCATTGGAGTTTATTGCGTATTATTCGCCTTTGGTGCAACTTTGAGCAGCACCTGCATGTAAACCTGCCGCATAAAAGATGATTGAGGAGGTAATGAAGTAAAGAAAAAAAAAAGAAATGGTCTTTGTTCACGTGTTCACGTGCACCTTCCATTCGACCTTCCTTATGATGATAAAAGTTGCGCTCTTTTTGTTCCCAGCATGAGTTCATCCACTTGAATCTGAATCCTCTGCTGGCTGCAGCCGACTAGGATCATTGAACTCCTCCTCGTCCCGCCGCCAGCACTCATTCCTGCTGTATTCGCAGGATGCTGACAGCTTTACTGAGTTGGTTGACGACCTACTCGCGTTGATGAGTTATATTTTATGATGTAGCCCTGGCCAGACGCTCCAGATTGCATGCAAATGAGCCCTGATGTACAAAAACAATCTCAGTGAGCTGAGCCCAGAGCATAAGGGACAAGTTTCTCCCAGCAGCTGTATAAAAAGCATGAGGACCAACATGATCCCTGTTTTAATGATAGCTGCAGCAGGCAGCCTCTCATTGGTCCCATGGCCAGGGCCAGCCCGAAGAACAAGCGAACTATGAAACAGTTTTTAAGGCCAGTAGAGGCTCCTCAACATTGTTTTTTAAAGAATGTTCTACACGAAAAAGCAAACTTATTATTATTTACTATTTTATTTATTTTGAGTATTTTTAATAGTTTTATCTTTAGCTACGTTCACACTGCAGGCCTTAATGCTCAATTCCGATTTTTTTGTGAAATCGGATTTTTTTGCGTGTCCGTTCACACTTCCAAGTATATGCGACATGTATGTGATCTACTGTGTGAACTGAAAGCGTTCAACCGAAGTGTCCCGCATGCGCACTAGAGGACGCGATGACGTCACATGTAGCAAGCGTCCTCAGTGTTTGCGGAAGTAAACATGACTCGGAATACCGCAGCGTATATTGCGTTCTTTAAGTTCTTCTCCAACAGGAGCAGGCACATTATGAACGAAATCTTTTTAAGAAGATCAAAAAGAAAGAGAGCCAGGTTCCGGTAAGACCCTTCGAGTTTGATCTGAATCGAGCTATCTTTCCAAATATGAATTAAGTCAGCAACCTCACTTTCTCTCCATTGACTGCTCTCTGTGTTATCTTCCGCAATGGTTGTTAGTTTTTCTCGCCTCCGCTTAGTAGGACGCAGATTAGTAACGTTTAGTAACATTTGTCAAGTATCAATGACGTGTAGGTCGGATGAATGCGACCTGCCTGTACAGACACAGGTCGCATTTGAAAAGATCAGATACGTATCGGATTCAGGACCACATATCCAAGTGGCCTGGGTCGCATTTGAAAAAATCCGATCTGTGTCGTTCAGACTGTCATAAAAAGATCAGATACAGGTCACAAATGGGCAAAAAAATCGGAATTGGGTCACTTCAGGCTGCAGTGTGAACGTAGCCCAAGTTGCTCTGTCATAAAAAAACTGTCCAGGTGTAAGAAGGCACCAGCGCCCCTTGTAGGATGAAAAGTAATAGACAAACTAATGGGTAATTAATGTAAACTATGGATATTCAAGTAAAAATTGATCAAAAGAGATTATATATCTACCAGTTAAACATAGAAACGTTTAAAAGTTGTATCATTATGTCAAAAGTCTAAATGTAATGTCACAATTAGTTTATCAATGATTCTCTGCTTGTTTGTGTGATGGGATTCCATTTTCCTGCACAATCTGGACTCTTTTAAAAGAAAACTAAATAAGTAAGTTTTTCTTTAAGTTTATTATAACAATACAAGCTAAACTTAAGTCTCAAAAGAGATACATTTTAATGAAGATATTGAGTGTTTCCAGGCTAATATAAAAAATATGATTTTTTTTTTTACTTTTTAAGGTTTAAGGCATCAGATGGCTTATTTACTTAGAAAATATATAAAAAAAGACTGTAATAAATTAGCAGTCTAAATTATTAGACACCAATTAGACAATGTTTGTTTAGTTTGGCACCCTTAAGGCTAAAAAATGAAGTGGTAAACATGTACTTTTGAAAGAGATTAGTATTTTCTTTTAAATTATATAGTTGGGTTTTGCTCTTGATTTTTTAATGGAGGAAACTCCTTGATCAATGTCCTTAAGAGTTTGCAACTTTTACAGCTGGAAAACATGGTAGGAATGTTTATATCAAAGTCGAACCTTCCAGTTAAAAAGTGAAGCAGCTTTGGCTCGCTAAACGGGAATACGGGAAACTATATCTTAGGTCAAAGATAAGGTAGGGTTAACGGCCTGATATCAAAATGTAAACAAGGAAAAACTGGTGGACAATGTTCTGAAGAAACATTGAACTCTAAAACAGTAGAAATGCACTGAACTTTTCTCCACTAATTTCCTTCTGCAGTCACCAATCTAAATAAGACTCTTTGTACAGAAGCAGCAGTTTGGATTTTGTAGATGAAACCATGCAAAATCCAAACTTACAAAGCAGAGATGAAGTGTTAATCATAAAATACTTCAAGATTTATCCAGATAAAAATAAATCTTACAAGTAAACGCATGAGTATTTTCACAGTTTTCTGTTTCCCTGAGAAAAAATAAAGGTATGCTGTATAGTTTGGTCCATTCCTTCATAGACTGCTAAGGAAAAGCTTGTCCAAAGCCAGGTTTTCCTTTATAGACCACAGCGGTCGACTTTGTTACTCAGCTCAGTCTTGAAGATAAAATTTGACAGCGTTTTAACGTGATCTTATTCATATGTACAGTCCCTTTTCTGAAATCTAAAATGTGGATTCTTCCATATTTGGCTCACTAAACCTATTTTAGTATTAAAAACATGTAAGTATGGGGTGATTTAATTAAGGTAATCTAACCCCACTATTCCCTCCTGGAATTCACACGGCGGTAGTCATTTTTAAAGCTCTTGAGCTCGGTGTCATCCTCACAGCTGCGAACATCTGGAGGCAGCTGGTTTGTATCCACAACCCAAGAAGCCCCCCCACACCATTTGCCTCACATTGTTTCCGTCTGGTTAACCTTGCTTTGGACAGGAGGCAAACATGTTTAAGTTGTTGTAGCTTTGCCTCTTGCTTCAGGACACCGAGCTGATGATTTCAGAGGGCCCTTTTGCCTGCATTAATTACCGCATAATTAAGAATATATTAAGATTAAACAAACAGAAATGCTCAAGGGACTCGGTATAACAAGCAAAAGAGGAAGCACAGAGCTGGTATTATTTCTAACTCAATTTGAAACTCCTAAAAGTGTATTTGGGGTTAGATTTTAGGGCAGTATGGGTGATGTTTGGTTCTTAGCTGAAGGGTATAACGTGGTGAATCAGTTTAGTGTTAAGGTTGCATGATCCGCGCCTCATTTACGCCCACACACCATAAAACTGCAGAAATAGGTCGATTTTTAAGACTCTGGATTCCCATAGGTTGTTTCTTTTCCCTGTTATAAGATGGATGGCTTGGGTTTGCTGTTTTCCAATTTTAGGGAAAGCTACAGCAGCCGCCATGGCTTCAACCCAACATGCACTGAGTATACCTACAGAAAATAAGAAGCAAAGGCTTCAGTTAAGACATTTGATTACTATTATTATATTTTTTTTTTTTGGCCGGTACAAGCATTTTCGAAGCTCTCCTTATAGCTCAGAGGCTACTTTTATTAGAAAAAGTGAGTTCCAGAAATGGATTGGATAGCAATTTGGAAGCCAATCCTTTCCGCGTCAGGCTCGGGATGGCCTTAGCTGAGATCAGTCGAGCCATCTCCTGCATTGAGCCAAGCTGCTGACTCGGCGCTCGTTGTCATCAAAGCTGGCTTGCCTTTCTTTTTTTACGTGTGTTGCAGGGAAACATAACTCAGTCAGTAACAAAGGTAGGGCTGTCAATCTTAAGTTTGAGCAGTTTTCCTTCCTTACAGCTGTGAGAGATCTGACGGAACAGTCTAAGGAGTTTGCTTCGGCTCAGAGTCTCTAGGATCAACAGAAACAGAAAAAAAACAAACTGTTCTGCTTTGCCTGTCTGTGTGCGTGCACCTCTTGATGCTTTTAGTATGCAAAGTGCATTGGTGTGTGTGTGGGAGGGTGTTTCCACACAGATTTGCATACATGCTTGTGTGTGGTTGTGTGCTAGGTCTGCAGATTATTTCAACCTCCTGTTGCTGCTGTTGTTTACCATTTGCTCAGACTTTAGATCACTGCTTCTTCATGATGTCTCACCTCCATCTGAAAAGATCATCAGAGCAGATATATCAATGTAGGAAAAATAAGATTCTTCCCTCTATTTTTTTTGTTATTTTCTTCCCCTCTTCCCAGTGAGAGCGTTGCCAAGCAATTGTTGTCTGGTTTGACAAGGGAACCTGGGATTTGCTATCAGGCACCTTCTTACTTGTGTGAGCAATTTCCACGGGGTGTAAACCTTGCAATGATGCAAGGGGCTGGCCATGAAATGACAACAAGCAGAAATCTATTGCATAATACAGTAATTTGTGAGTTCCCTTTTTGCTGTTGCTGTGTTATCAAAGAGAAAAGCTTAAGCCAGTCGTCTCTCGTTATTTTCCTGTGAATGACTCTGTGAGTCATCTCAGAGTGTCTTTCTTTCAGCCAGCTTTGTCTCTCCTCATTGACTCACTAAAGAATGTGATAAGGAAAGCAAAAGCTGAAATTAACATAATTTA